TCGTTAGAGCGGGTACCGGAATTAATCACTTTCTGCTCTCAGATACGGACAAAATGAATCACATATATTCACAAAGGTTGTTTAGAGATTTCGAATTGCTAATGATTCCACAAATTTCACTCTAAAGGTAACGATGCCACGGTTGCCATAATATACTGATGAATTCAGAGAGAAGTCACGATGATTAACCCCTCATAAAACAATTCAACGAATGAGATCGTAGAAAGCATTCACTATAAATCCGGCTCACAATTGATAATTTTCTCAAGTGATAATAGGTGAATAAGACCGAATCAAACCTGAGCAATCAGAAAAACAACGTGAATGGCGTAGACGGTACGCTCGAGAGGAAGTGGAACGATGTCCTCATTAACACTCAAAAATATAACCATCGGCAGTTGTAAAATCACCGTTGTTATCCAAAATCCGGACAATGCTGGGATCTTAAACAATCAATTCCTCAGAAATTTTCGTTGTGTTTATACTATGAGACAGCATTATTGTTCTTTCAATGAACTGAATATTATACTAGAGCAGTGCTTATAATAATAACAACAGCAAGAAGAATGGCAACACTGAAAATACAGCATTAACTCATTAGTTGGCATCAACTCAGTCTTCATTTAGAGGCATAGAAATCGCACTGAATAGTGATTTTGCAGTAATTAGTTTCACCCAAAGTTCAAAAAGAAACCTTTTCAGCAATATTTCCGTAATAACCAAGATAAAGACGTACAATCTCGGTTATGATCGTCAAAACATGAATAGCAACCAAAATCGCCTTGTAGGTCATCGATAAATAAGCGTACTAAAATAATAACGGGTCAGCCATAAATTAATAGGCGAATTTGAATTGCTAATTCAATATTACTCATGGTTGTTTCGTTTTCATATGATTTTTAAAGCTTGCTCATTCAATTCTCTGGTATTTGACGGTCAGTTTGCTCCATCCAGATTAGATGAATCAAAGCAACTTGTTGGGTTGAAGGCTTTAATTAAGTCTTCAAATTTACTTGCTACAAAGCGTCTTCGCCATAAACAAATACGACTTAAGCTGTTCAACAAGATTCATGTGAAACGATAATTACATAATGATAAAAATGCTGACTAAATGCAACACTTAACCTTCGTTATCAAACAAACAATATGAGAAACAGCCCAAAACGGCGTGAAGCAAACATTGTAGTGAAGAGCGATTTGTAATGGAACGCTTGTTAGAATTTCTAGAATTTAGACTTGATTTCAATGTGCTATCAATAATATTGCTGATTTCTGCACAGCAAATGTAAATTCGATGCACACAACTAATGCTGAATATTGAAACGGAGTAGTTGACTGTGATTAAATTTTTTTGCTAGATGCTTAAACATTTCCTTGAAGCGATAGCAGAGCAGAACAATAAATTCAACTACGGTAGGTTATATTTGAGTGGGTATATCACAAACAATGCATTTTTACGACAGAGTTCAAATTCAGATGAGCAAAACTGACCAGTTGTCGAATCAGAAAATGCACGTATTGTTGCGATCCTTTCGTCCATTTCCTCTTTCCTGAACACAAATCATGTGACATCCACACAAGTTCAACAATCACATTCATTTATCACTCCTTTATTTTATAATTTATTAAAATTAGACATAGTGGTTTGCTTTGATTAACACTCATGAAAAAGTACCGGTGATCGCTGAACTTGGAATATTAGATGAATTATGTGAAGACGATCGTTCAGCAACTCAGAGTATATAAATGCGAAAAATTTTTGACTGCTGACTATATTTAATATGCCTATAGCCAAGTATATGCAGAGCATGTATCACCTAACAAATTTTGTTCACGTACACAACCAACCACTTTCGCTTAGAGCACTCGAAGTTGGAGCCAACAAAAAAGTGCGATTAGTAACTAAATAAGTAATTTTGTGTGCAGATAGAATTTGAACTTAAAGGTCAGCTAAAAATGTAGCCAATATGAGACACATCACGGGCACCTGTACTGATTTGATCACCGTGAAGTATTAGTTCATCA